CCCCAAAACCCCAAAACCCCAAAACCCCATTATATTCTTTTAATAAATATAAACACCAAGTAAAATGGAGAGTAAGTTAGTCTCATGAGGTCTCTTCTTAAAACTGGGCCAGATCTCCCAAATCCTCCCTTTCTATGGTTACACAGACCAGTGAAATATCATGATGTCGACCTTGTCAAGTGAGACAAGGAAGATCTGGCATGATTATGAAGATATATTCGTCAGCAAGTTTCTTATCGATAATCGAAGGGATCTTGACTTGTCTTGCCTAATATATTCCGCAACAGAGAAGGACCAAGTAAGTCGCCATATGTGAAAAATAGGTTCTCTTGAATAAATCGAAATACTCAAATGTCTTGACCGTACTTAACAAGTATTTCACAAATCTGATGCTTTAGGATCTTTGAAGATTACCCGATGAAACTCTGAAACAGATTAAAGTTCTGGCTGAAGTACTTCAAAATTCCACCCATGGAGTTCTCCCACGATCTTTCAGAGTTGTCAAAATTTCTGGAGTATTTCCTTAATCCTGAAATCCAGGAGTTTTTATTTGGGTAAGCTAGCTTGTGCGTCTTAGAAATATGGAGTATTCCATCCTTGAGAGTATGTGAATGGATCAAATTTGGAATAACCACTTTTTAGGAGAAATAAAGATGAATTCTCAAAACTCATTTTTCGAAAAATTTTGATAATTCAGCCATATCGAGAAATGTCTGAAGAAGCACATAAAATCTGCAAAATTCTGAAAGGTATGAAAGGGGAGCATGACTTAAGACTTGAAGACGAAAATGGCTCGATACTTTACTCTATCAATTACCCTGTAGAAGAACTGAACGAACTGGAGAAAGCATGAATCTTAGAGCCTGATTTGGCCTTCTTAGAAGAATACAAGATCAAGCATGTGACAACAACCTGGCGTAAAGACCCATTCAAAGATAGAAACATTATAATTTATGATACTGAGTTTAAATTGGCTAATTGTGTGAGCATCACCAATGAAGAATCTCTACAGTTCTCAATAAGGACACTTGAGAAGTACTATGGTAATAAAGCCATGGTTCATCTCAATTTTATATTGAGAGACTTCAGCTTACTCCCACAGCTCCTAGATGGGATCTGTCACAACTTCAAGTGGTTTAGTCTGCAACTGAAAAGTGTTGAGGCAAAGCGACATTATGCAGCAAAATGTGAGAAATGAGCGGTTATCTCTTATGATACTGATCTTGATGAAATAAGTATTTACATGGTTCCAGAATTTACAATTTCCTTTAGTGATTTCCATGTTGTAGACCCTCAGAACGATATGTTCATGATTCTGTCAAATTTTATCAACTTTCAGTCTAAATAAGCTAGTGAAGCAAGAGAAAAGTATTGAAAGCTGGCGGAAATACCTTGCGCAATTCGGGACAAATTGTGTTGCATTCCTCAAGAAGTCTGTTCGTGAGCTGACTCTTTATGATGAAAACACAGCGATTAATATGAAGAGCTTACAGAACTGAAATATTTTCATTAAATCATCAGAGCAAGATATCAGTACGTTTAACCAGAATTTGTCTGAGTTGGATTCCGGTGTTAAGATCTCCAAAATCGATACCCAGTTTGTACTGAACGAGAAGGATAGGTGGAGTAGACTTGAGATAGGAAGTCTCTGCCACCTCTTCTCTAACACAGTGCGTGAACTGACTCTTACCAAGAAGACAGTGGGGATACTTGCTGAGTTGAAGGCCAAGGACCTCTATCTGCATAAATTGAGGATCAATTCTAACTGTATACAATATTTGGACCTTCTTGCCCCTGATACAGACGATGGGCTACTCCAAAAAACCCCGATGATCGATTACATCTATGTGGACATCATCTTTTACAACCTGACCGAGGAGGAGCTTAATATATTGAAGAGGTTCACATTTAGTATCATTGTGATAAAGCTCAAAGAAATCGATATTAACTACTAATATTCTGTATCTTTCGGTAAAAATTGGGGTTTTGGGGTTTTGGGGTTTTGGGG